GGAGCCCCATAAATATCTCTGAGATGCTGCTCAACCAGCCTCGTGTTGGTGGGGTTAGTAAGGGAACTGAATGGTGAGTGTGGGCTTCCCATTGCAAATATCCTGTCAGTTCCTCTCTTATGACCTGTTGGGGGGATTTGCCTTAGGTACAACTTGCTATTTAAAGTCTCTTTGGAAATGCTTTGGGTCTAATGTATTATTTATGGCATGGAATCTCTGTTCCTTTCTCCATCAATCCTCTCTGGTTCTCCCACCAAATAGAGATTTTCAAATCCCGAGTTTATGAGGTTATGTGAAGACAGTTGTGTGCCCTGAAGTAGCAATCTTACTGCGTGTCTTTCCCCCCCCCCCCCCTGCACCCCATGATTGCTCCCTTCAAAAATCACTGGTTAAAACACTGACACCCCTGAGAAGATCTACTGAGCACTCTGGCCAGCAAGCAATAGGTGGGCATTGGCTAAAAGACATTAAGGCCAGAGGGAGCCCCACGAAGGGAAGAGAAGATGGAGAGATGAAGACATAGGTCAAGGGGACAGGGTCGCCCCCAGGGGGAAGTGGGAGAGGATTGAAGATGCTGATATCACTATTCTTTCAGGAGTCTGAGGCTGACCATTGCCTTCCTCATTCTCTCATGCTTAGCCTTCTCATCACCTCCCAGGGCTTCTGGCTTTGTCTGGGAAAAATGCTAACCAGCACTTCACAAGAGCAGTCACCAAAGCCCTGGCCAGCTCACAAAGACACTATGTGCAATGCAGAAGGAACATGGTGCTCCTGGTGAGAGGCCCAGTGGGTGGGGGAGGGGGCAGCCTTGGGCAGCCAAGGAAGACAATGGGCTCATCCCCAAATCCTCAGCTTTCTGTTCCCTCCCACCCTGCCTATTCTTGAATTTCATTACCAGAGAATACTTCCCCAAGAGGGTTAATCATCCTAGACATGGATGAACTTGGGGGAGAAGGACACAGAGAACCTGTTTGCTGTCCCCAGTCCCTGGCTTAGGGATTTTCATTAGCCTTCCCAAATACCAGACCCTTAGCTTTTGACTCACCTGGTGTCTGGTGCCCTCCAACATTCCCGCTAGCAGATATTTCTGTTTCTCTATTTCACATGTGTCAAACACAAGGCCCGCGGGCCAAATCCGTCCCGCCAGGCCTTGCAATGTGGCCCGCACCGCGCTGTCATCACTGCACTCCGCTGCATTTCCATCACAATGACAGTTTATGACTGTTCAGTAAACCATTCGGCCCACGATTTAGGCTGGATTTTAGATTTTGGCCCCTTCTCTGATTGAGTTCGACACCCCTACTCTATTTGCTTCCCCGGTTGCTAAATGGGGGACCCCTCACTGCTGTGTGGTCCTCAGCTTCTTATCTTTCCTGCCTGAATCCCAACTAGCACCTGGCTTGGCAAGACCAGGCACCTGCCTGGGGACCCAGGTCTGAGCTGCTCTCAGTCCTAGAGTGATACTCCCCATCTCTTCCTCTCTCGGGAAGTGATTTTGGGGCATCTGATCCTATAGTACCATAGCTGAAAAAGCCTAATCCAAGACCCCCAGTTTAAGGGAACCTCCCAAGTCTAAGCGTCTTTGTTTGAAGTACAGCATGGGGGAAAGGGCATTCAGTTCCACTGCTGAATTTTGTTTTTCCCATTTGTTACTTAAATTGCCTAAGCCCCACTTTTCTCATCTGTAAAATGGGTATGATACTTCTCTCATGGGATTACTATGAAATTAGAGATTCTAAATTTAAGAGATTCTGTGCCTGATGTGTGTATAGCACTGGGGAATGAGCGAAAGCTCCTTGCCCTTGTAGAATGGAAGTGGGGGATGACAGGCATTAACAATATCACAAGAATTAATAGGTTGTTCCCTCTGTGATGTGAAAAAGAACAAAGGACCTAATTGAGGCAGAGTGGGGAGCTAGTGAAGAAAAACCTCTTTGGTGAACCAATAGCTTGTGAGCATCTAATATGCCACTGGGACCAGAACACAGTAGGTGCCCAGTACCTGCAACCCTGACAAAGCCCCTACAGCTCCCTGGGACTCAGAGTCAGTGGGCATAAGGTGAGAGGGTTGAACTGAATGATTTCTAGAACTGAGTTGCTCATCTCTGATGCTTATGATTCTCTCAACTCACAACAAGACAGAGCCTGATTGAATAAGGCCTCCTGGCTCCCTGACCAGTGCTCTCCTCCCCAGTTGTTTCCACGGATGAAAAGAAGCTGGGTCCAAACTTAAAGAGGACAAAAGGAAGAACTGGCCAATTTGTCTCCTGGAACCCCTTTCTCCTCATACCTCCCCCCTGTTCTTCAGCTGGAGCCCAGCATCCTCATACCCCTGGGATGAGGGTAGACAAATTGGATATTGAATTTCAGCTCAAGCAGTTACCATCATCTTGGGCTTACATTCTCTTAGCTTTAGCTCTTCTAAAACATAAGATGATGCTAACCTCACTACTTCACAAGGAGGATAAATGAGATACACCAGGAAAAGCCCTCAGTATAGGGCCTGATCCACTGTGAGCCTCCAACCAATGTAATCTTCTTAAGTACTTCCTTCAAGGCTGAACCGAATTCCTGACTTGGAGCCCCTTACTGGCTATAGGTGGAAGTCTATGTGTGGTTAAGCTGGCTACAAAGTTAGGTGAGAGGACAACAGGGAAAGCAGATCCTGACGGAGGGAACAGAACTGCAAACCTCCCAGGCCATCTATGCCCACTTATTACCATATCCCCAAAATCTTGCTCACATCCTGTCCCATGGTACCTGAGCAGTAGGCTGAATGGGTCCAACAGAGTAGGTGGGAGAGCTTCCATGGTCTCCCCAAGAACCTGATATCATCATTTGCTTACCATTGACTCCTTCAGTACCAGAGAGGCACCACAGCATAGGACTGAAAGCTTGGGCTCTGAAGTCCACCATTTACTGTTCCCTCTTAACTTAGTTTCCTTAGCTGTTAAATGGGTTGATACTCACTCACTTCACAAGCTTCGTGTGAGGCTTGAGAGAATAAGTGTAAAGCACTCAGACCATGGCAGGCAGGTAGACGGTGCTCTACCAGTGTTAGCTATTATTCCCAGTAACTCTGCTGAGAGTCAGATACTGCTGGGCTCTGGGGAGCCTGGCTGGGAGCAGGTCCCTGCATTCACAGACCTGCCAGTCTCATGGAGGGTGATGGATCAAGAAACAAGCTATCTTAAGACAATATTATTAATGGCCCGAGAAGATGAATTCCAGGGGACTTTAACCTAGTACCAGATAAAGTGACTTTACTCAGAGACCTGACTAATCTGTTGACTTGGACAGACCAGAGGCCAGGGCAGGGTAGAGTGCTCCAATTAGAATGGTTAACATGAAATAAGGTCAACCATGGTGGGTGGAAGAAAGAGTGTCCACAGGGCAGGAGAGAGTTGGAGAATGATGAGCAAGCAAACCAGAGAAACAAGTGGGACCCAGACCATCCATCCAGTCAATGGAAAAGGAAGGAAGTACTCCCCAAAGAAGTATCAGGTCCAGAAGGTATAATTCCCTGCACGGGGCTTGTCTTCCACCTCTTAACATACCCCTTAAAATTATGAGGGGAAGCAGGATTCACTTTAATGAATTCAGACTAACTACTTGGGAAATCCAATGGGGCCTCACCAGAGAAAACTCCTAGGGAACCATAACATAGCAGGAAGAAGATCCTCCATCGTGTGGCAGCTATGTGGGACAAAGCCTCGGTAGCATCCCACCCAGCTACTGAAGCAGGTACCACTGGACACAAACACTGGAGGATTAAGACATTATGGTTGTAAACACAGGGAATTAAGACAACCCCCAAGACTAGAGAAAGGAAATACAGTTGGCATGGTTATTGCTTCACCTAAAATGCACGGGGATAAATCCATTTTAGGAATACTAATCTCTATATACATAAGCCTAAGCGACCACCTAACCGGTGACCTGGCAATAGCTATGATGCACACTGACCACCAGGGGGCAGACACTCAGCGCAGGAGCTGCCGAGCAACAGCAACTTTGCAGAGTGCCTTCTCATGCTCCGAGACCCCTGGGGGATGTCGGACTGCTGGTTTTGGCCTGATCCCCACAGGCCAGGCCGAGGGACCCCAGTGGTTCACAAATCCCCACCAGTGCACCAGGCCTCTAGTTTACCATAAAGGCATTCTTCTCCATTTAATGTCGAAACAAAAACAGTTTTCCTTGTTGTTACATCATACCTTTCCTTCCTCGACCACCTCCAGCCAAACCTAACAACCAGAGAAGACAAATATGTCATCCTTTCATCTTTCACCTTCATTCCGGGTGGTCAGATTCCTGCTGGCACCACAGGGCCCCAGCTTTCATCTATGGTAAGGGAGTCCTTTGACATATAGCATCCCAACCCAAACTCAGACAACACCACTGAGTTGGGAATATGATGGGGTTGAGAACAGACAATGCACACCAAACACAGATCCCAAAGTGGGAAACAAAGTCTCACAAATGATGCTCAGCCCCACTCTTTTTCTTCTCTGCAGCCAACATCACAAAGCTTGGTGCCACCACGCAGAGCCTTTGAAAGCCATGTCCCATTTGCATATCAGCCTTGATGATGTCTCAAGCTAAAGCAATTGGATTTCTTATAAAGGGTCCAAAGCCCTCTGAAGACTTTGGGGTTTGGAGCCTGTGGGAAGGATGACAAGGAGGCCATGAGAATAGCCATCAGGAAGGGTTCCACGTGGAGCAAAAGCAGGCAGACGTGAATGCTGCACCACCATCAAAGCGCATGCCTCTTTCCAGCTGCAAATGACTCATGTCTTGGCTTAGTCTTTCCAAAGAATTCCAAGACTTTGAGTTCTCTTTCCTTCCACTTCCTTCCTCCACATTCTCTGTCTCTCCTACTTTTCACTTTGCTGCCCCAGCCTCCCCCACCATGCTCCCTCCATTTCTAATGTCGTGACATCCTAAGAAACTGTTCCCCGCCCTCCCCCCCCCCACACACACACACACAATTTTTTTAGTACCTGTATCTTTGACTCTGTGGTGTCTGAGGAATTATTTCCAACCAGTTGCTTAGCAAAGCTGATCAAAACTCTGGAGAAGACAGCTCCAGCCTGTGTGGGAGTGAACCAAAGGGTCCGCTGGGTACCTGTTTGTATGGCCAGAAGCTGAAGGACTTTGGGTGCTCGGCAGTAACCTCAGAAAAATTCCCTAGGCTGCAGCAAACTCTCCCAGCACAGTTTTGAAACACCCCAGCAGGAGGAAGCCTCTTTAATCAAATAATAACCAGCCAGAGATAAGGCCTCCGAGGCCGAGCTCTGCCAGCCAATCACTTGCTTCCTTCCACTGCAAGGACAAACAGACCCGTACTTCTGGAGTGAGTTTCAGAGCTTGTTACAATTTAATGATGCTACGGGTGCTGTCTTCTTGGCTGTGCCTGGTGGGGGTTGTCTATCAAAAGAAGGAAGCTCTGAGCTCAGGAATCTCATTCTCAGTGGAGGTGCCTGTCCGAGTCAACAGATTAGCCAGGTCTCTGAGTAATCTCACACAAAGCCTGGAAAGCTTTTGCATTGCCCAGAGTTCTGGCTGCTGCCTAGAAGCCAGGCCTGAGTGGGGCTGAGCAGGGCTGGGACACCAGGGGTGAACAAATTTGACACAGGAGGTGCAGCTCCTTGACTGTGACCCTGAAAAGGCTATAGTGACTTGCTCTCATGTGTTAGAGATTCTTAATACATATTTCTTATGGGTCCTTAATTGGCAGTGACTTTGAACTTCTCTACATTCTTCACCCTGTCCAGCCACTCTCCCCTTCCAAGAAGAAGTATTACAGAAGTATTACAAAAAGGGTGGGTTCTTGGGGCTATCCAAGTTAATAATAATGGCCCTATGTGTTTCTAGTCCTATGACTTTGAACATGCCACCTAGCCCCTTCCTCCTCGGTTGCTACAAGGATTAAAAAGAACTCTGGCAGATCCCTGTGCGGTTCTCACAGGCCCTTAGAAGATGTAAACAAATGCTTACATGGTCTGGATGTATTAGAGGTAAAAATTTGAAGGAACTTACTGGAGAACCTTTTTATTATGTGAATAATAGCCATCAACGGAATCAATTTTAGGACATTTCATCACCCCCCAAAAGAAACTCGTTCTCATTAGCAGTCATTCCCCATTCCCCACCATCCCCCATCTCTGCCAATTCAAGGCAACCACCAATCTGCATTGTCTCCTGTGGGTTTGCCTGTTCTGGACAGGTCATGCAAATGGAATCATGTACTATGTGGCCTTTGTGACTTGCTTCTTTCACTTAGCACACTGTTTTCAAGTTCACTTGATTCCTTTTTATTGCTGAATAATCTTCCATTGTATGAATATACCACAATTCATTTATCTATCCATCTATCCGTTGATGGAAATTTGGATCATTTCTGTTTTTACTTTTTGCTATAAATAATGTTACTATGCACATCTGTGTACAAATGTCCACTCCCTTTTATATGCAAATTCATGGCCCCAGCACAGGAAAACAAGAAGAGAACAAAGCAGGTGAGAGAACAAGCCTTTGAAGGGCTTCTTTCCAACCAGGAGTTAGAATATCACAGCAGTAGCGAGTGTGGGTTCAGGTTTTCACCATGCATGAAGCTCTGTCGCAAATTCCCTCTCTTGTAATCCTCCCACAACCCTAGGCCTAACGAAGGTATTTCTTTTATTTTTAAAGATGAGGTCATAAGGAATAAGAAAGTTTCAATAACTTGACAAAAGTCCCCCAGCCAAGAAGTGAAGCCAGAATAAAGTCTTACGTTCTTACCACTCCAGCTCTTCCAACACAAACAAGATTTTTGTTCTTCTCTTACATACTCAGTCTTAGTTTCTAAGACTCATAGTTTGAGGAGAGAAAAGAAGAAAGAAGTAAAAAAAAAAAAAAAAAAAGAGCTTTATTATAATTTATGGAAAAATTGCAATGAGGGCAACAAATAGTTGCTATTGTCTGTATTTTTAAAAATTGTATATAAGGCTCAGAGGATTAAATGTCTCATCTAAAAGCACAGAACTGTTGGGGATGGAATGTACCGCATGGAGACGATAGTCAATAATATTGTAAAAGCCATGTATGGTGCTAGGTAGGTACCATAAATATCAGGGGAAATACTTTGTAAAGTATATGATTGTCTAACCACTATGCTGCACACCCGAAACAGATACAAAATAATATTGAATGCAAACTGTAATTGAAAAATAAAATTTTTTAGGAAGATAAAGACACAGAGCTAGTAAAGTAGCCCTTGATAATTCAAAGATAGATAGATGATTCCCAAATGCAGGCTAGATTGGTATGCTTTCTTCCCAGTATCTAACAGAGCAGTAGAGGTCTTGGCTGTTCAGCCGGAAGGAAGGGTAACTCTGCAGGCAGCCCTGCAGGTCAGAGTAGGTCTGGATGAAGAACATACACAGCAGGGGTGTGTGGAGAGGAATAGGGAATGCAAGAGACTGAAGGTGCAGAGAAAGGAAGGCTACAAAGAGAAGAGCAGGAAAGAAAACAGAAGATGGGAGAGTTCTGTTGAAAGGCTGGCCAGCTTCCCAGATTGTCCCATGGCCAGGAATGTTTCATCCAAATTCTTGAGGTCTTTTGATCAGCAATGTGAGCAGTCAATTGATTAAAGCTAAAAACAGATGTTCTGGGTGGAATGATAGGGAAAATATCAGTCAGAAGAATGAGTGTAGTGACAGAGCCTTAGCTTTTCATTGCCCATCCACCACACACACACACACACACACACACACACACACACACACACATTTGTCAATTGTGTGGGAAGACTGTCAAATATATCACAAATTGCAAAACATCTTAGTGCCAGCAGTTACTGTAAATGACAAAAATGGATTAATAGGAAATACTGAAGGCTGAGGTAAAATACAGGGTACCATCTAAGGACATCTAAGGACATCTAAGGACATCTACCACTCCAGCCAAATGTAGGCTCAGGGTTGCCAGATCTAGTTATCTTTAAGAGAGACTGGAAATATAGATTTTAATTAATGTAAAATCTCAAAAAAATTTAATTGGCAACTGTTCAAAGAAATTAAATACTGTTTAATGCAAAAACTCCACACAGATTTGCAAGAAAAACTCAGGCCATGCAAATCCAGTTTTTTCCCCTCCTAAGGTAGGCAAAATATGCATTTACATGCATTCACTTACTAACTCGTGCACAGTGATCAAAGATTCTAAATCATCTGTAAGGGCCAGTCCTCCAAGTGGCTTGTGGGTTTCTCTATCTTGTTCCCCAAGTTTAGAGACATTGAAGTGTGGTCAGAGGACTCCTGCAGAAGTCTCCAGGTACTCACTAAATACAAAAACTTCTAGGCAATACCCCAGAATCCCTAGGGACAGAACCCAGGAATCTGCATGTTAACAAGGTCCTCACATAATTCTGGGATGCCAGGTAAGACCATATAGCTCCTCACTGGTTTCTTCTTAGGAAGAGCTCCTCTCTTGCCTTCCATTCGAAAGATACTTTTCTGGTTGGGACAAGTGAGCTCGAATAAAGTAGGTAAAATGTTAGTCTTTTTGTGCCCATTGACTTCCTGCAAATCAAAACAAAGAGGGAAGTATCTATGCAAATACAGAATCAGATGGATCTTGCTGTCACAAGTGGTGACTATGATAACAATTGAAATTTGAAAAAGGAAAATCGGAAAACTCACTGTACTGGAGGCTGTGACATAGTAAGAAACATGTACTTGATCTTTGCCCCTCTTTCCTGGCACACAACTCCTAAAACCCTGACTCTCCTAAGTGACAATTGTCTTTGTATGCTAAAGAGATGACTAGTACCTGGATAGGTCTGGTTGCCACTGGAACTAACCAGGGGATTAGAGGGCTGGAACTTTCACCTGCATAACGCTCCACCCCAGAGGTTGACTTGATTGCTAATGGCCAATGATTTTATCAATCATGCCTAAGTAATGAAGCTTCCATAAAAATAAAAAAATAAAAATTAACCAAGAGGATTTGGAGAGCTTCCTGGCTGCTGAACACATGAAGATGCTGGGAGGGTGCTGATCCCAGAGAAGCCATAGAAGCTCTGAGTCCCTTTCCCACACCTTGCGCACCTAAGCATCTCTTCCATCTGGCTGTTCCTGAGTTATGTCATTTATAATAAACTGGTAATGTAGTGAACAAGTGTTCTTTTCTGAGTTCTGTGAGACTCTCTAGCAAATTATTAAACCCTAAGAAGGGTTATGGGAACCGCCAACTTATAGCTGGTCAGTCAGAGGTACCAGAGGCCTGGACTTGCCATTGGCATCTGAAGTGAGGGGCAGTCTTATGGGACTGAGCCTTAGCCTGTACATCAGATGCTAACTCTAGCATCAGAATTGAATTGAACTATAGGACACCTTGGCCTACCCTGAGGAGATTGGGTCAAAAGTGGCCCAGTGCAAGGATTCATCCAGGCGTGTCAGGCCCATCTCACCTAGTCCCCATGGGCCTGACTCCAGCAGCAAGCTAACCTTCTGATCAGAGTGTCTGCCCCCTGGTGATCAGTGTGTGTCATAGCGACTGGTCAAAAGGTCAAACAAACCCTTGGACACTTAGCATATTAGGCTTTTATTATATTCTATATAATATATCCTATTAATATATCCTATATCATATATCCTATTATATAGGATATTCTTTCTTGCAAGTACTTTCTATGACTGGCTTAAATAATTGAGTTACTTTTTTCTCATATAAGGAGTCTTGAGATAGGCAATTACTGGCAATGAATTAGCTATCCAACACCTTTCCGCTCTTCTGTCCTTATGTGTCGCTTTATAGTGAGGGCAAGCAGTAAACCTCCAAATCTCAGAGATTTAAAAATTTCCCATATATGCCACAGGTCCATCACATATTTGTGGAAGACCTTTGCTCATTAATAGTTACTCAGAGACCTACAGTGATACATGCCCCAGCTTGTCAAATGCTTCCACAGTTGCTGAGGCAGGAGAAAAATGTTTGTGAAAGATGCACAGAAAAAAAAAAAAAAAAAAAAAAAAAAGGATATGAATTTTGCCCAGAACAGCTACACAGAGTTCATTGGCCAATATAGGTAACATGACCAAACCTATTTTCAAAGGGGGTGGGAAGAGACAATTCCATTAAATGCTCCCAAAAGGACCACTGAAAATAGTTGGTAAATAGCACTGACTATCACCTGGACTCATGTTCGAAACATGGCTGCCGCCATTTCATA